TTTATTCTGAAATCCCATTGACTTTTGACTTGATTAGAATGAGAATATTAATGCTAAAATGATGAGGTTTTAGTATAACATCGCATAGTACAATTAAGGTGTCACCCAATGTTTCCAGAAGTGCGGTGAACACCTACTTGGGAGACTGAGGCAGGAAGATCATAAGTTCAAGGCTCTGAGTTGTAGAGTGAGGTCAAGTTCAGTCTGGACAACTTAGTGAGAAAAAGAGCCAGGCACACAGGTAAGTGATAGAATGCATGCTCAGCATGTGTGCAACCCTGGATTCGACCTCAGTACTGCAAAGAGGAGGCGGGGGACTAAGAGGAAGAGGAGGAGAGGGTGGAAAAGGAGGAGGAAGAGGAGGAGGGGTTAGAGGAGGAGGAGGTGGAGAAGGAGGAAGAAGATGAGGAGGAGGGGGAGGAGGAGGAGGAGGATGGTGAAGAGGAGAAGGAAGGAGAGGAAGAAGGGGAGGAGGAAGGAGGAGGGGGGAGGAGAAGGAAGAGGAGGAAGGGGAGGAGAAGGGCAGATAAAAACATTCAAATTGGACCTTGATGAAAGACTTTGATTACCATCCCTCTCATGCTTAGGAAGAATCCACGGTAGGCATTCTGTCTCATTTAGGACCTTTTGAGAAACTGAATGATCCACAGAGACACCAGACAGAACCCAGAAACTGCTGTACTTTTTCACCAAGACTTTATTTATTTATTTATTTATTATTTATTTATTTATTTTTAAGTCTACAGTACCTGGTGTTCCCAGGTGGTCTGTCATCCAAGTATTAACTAGGCCCAACCCTGCTTAGTTTCCAAGATCAGAAGAGATCGGGGACATTCATGGTGGTATGGCCATAGACAAGACTCTTATTGAAAGAGTTATTTTTATTTTTTAAATTATGTAGATTTGTGCATGTCTGTGTGTGGGTCTGTACAAATGAGAACAGGTACCCATGGAGGCCAGAAAAGGGGGGTTGGACTCCCTGGAGGCAGAATTACTCCCTGACAGGTCATGGGACCCAAACTTGGGTCCTCTGGAAGAGCAGCACAGGCTCCTAACCACTGGGCCATCTCTCTGTAGTTTTTTCAAAACCATCCTAACATCATGCCTTTCTCTTCTCCCTTTTTTCACATGCATATGCACATGCACACACCCCCACCCAGCACACACATAATTCTAAATTAAATGAAAATTGCCCTTTTATAGTATTAGAACCAACACCAAAAGAAATGATAAACATTTTGCACAGAGATATTAAAAAATAACCCCAAACGTCAACTCTGGGAAATGACTACAAGCTTGAGATATGAAACGATTGCAAAAGTTCATTGAAAAGCGACAGACCTTAGAGAAGAGCACTTAGAAACTGGCTCTGCAGAGCTGCTCAGGGCAAAGGGCAGCAGAAACAGCCCAAGCCCTGAGTCTGTTCCCAGAACCAAGAATCAGAAAGGAGGCCAAGACTGCTACCTCCAGTTGGCTTCTCCCGCTGGGCTTTCTTCCTTCTGGGCCTTTTGCCTTTCCTTGTCTTTGGGCTGCACTGCTCTTCTGATCCCACCTCGTTCTTCTGTCCCAGCTTTCACCCCTTAAACACAAATATCACGGAGTGTTTTCATGGGTCCAGTTCTTATCCTACAGATCAGGAAAGTTGCCCAGCAAATATCTTTAGCCAGCCATCAATGATGAAGACCCTCAGAGAGGCCTGGAATGGAGCAGAGCCTGAGCAACGTCCACAGCTTCTACACTCAAACCCAAGGTCTGTTCCTGCAGGCAGAATGCTGGTTGGGAGCGCTTGGTACTGCTCCCCAAGCCCTTCAGGTGGCCAGTTTCTTAACTCCATGTGGTTGTCACAACTAAAGATCTCCCCGGCCCTCTAGGAAGATCCCATCCTTCCCAGAATTCACCAACAGTGGCAAACATGGTATCAGACCTGCAGCAAGGCACTGAGGGATGGATGTTACCTCCCAGTCACACTCACATACAACACTGAGCCACCAGGAATCAGATAGAGCACGTAAAACAACCACAACTAACACATTAAGAACCCCAATGCACACAAGTAGAGAATACAGATAGACATTTTAAGCTGAGAAATGAAAAGCCTATGAAGATTTGAAAGGAACTTTTAGAAATGAAAACATTCTAGTATAAATAGAAAATTCCTCTGATGAGCTCATCAGGACACCAGACAGGGTTGGCAGATGGATCAGTAAGCGTGGTGACATGTCAGTAAAAACTTTCCAGACAGAAATAAAATTATTTAAAAAGTTAAAAAATAGGAACCAGAACAGCCATGCATTGTGGGGCAACATCCAGAAGCATGGCATAATTTTTAGTTAGAATTCAAGAACTCAAAAGGCCTGAACAATGAATATTTAAGGAACTGAAAGACCAGCCTGCAGAGGTACTTGGAATTCTATAGCCAGTACTGTTTGCTGTTAAAAAGTGAGAGGAAATAAAATCTGCCTCAGACCAAAAGTTCTTTATGGAAACTCAGTGCTTGGGGATTTGTCTCACAAGAAATGTCGAGAAACACGCCCCAGGAAGAACAAATGGGACAGGAAATGGAACAAGTGACATGGACAGGAATAGAGAGACGGGGACTTAGACAGGTAGAGGAAACAAAATGCAGCATCGTATTTTTCTTTTCCTTAGTTTATCTAAAACATAGCTGTTCCAAGTACTAAAAATAACAATGTATTTCACAACAAAGACAAGGGAATGAATGAGTGGTGTCCTGGGGATTAGAAGAGGAACAGGAAAATGTCACATTGAGTGTCTGATGCATTACATTTTATTTGAAAATGAAGTTAAATCAGTTAAATGCTTACATGACTAACTTTAGGACAACCATTACAAACTTCAAGAAAATACATAAAATTGATATAAGAGAGGAAGAAATGGAATTCTATACATCATTCAATGAAGAGCTGGAAAAGTTGAAATGGGGCGGGGGTGGGGGGAGAACTGCTGAACTTAAGAGGAAACTGAGGGCCTTGATCCACAGAGCAGATGCAAAGATCACAACCTAACGCCATGCTGCCTGCAAGAAACTCAGCATTAAATGTAAAGCTGTGAGGGGCAAAACCCCAGGGGTGGAGGAAGATTTACCTTGAATGCAGACTGAAGGAAAACAGAAGGAGAGATGGGCAGAGCAGACACTGGAGCAAGGAGGCCTGACCTAGAAGAGGACGGACACCACGCTGTGGTGTCCAAGGACCCAGCTGAGTACACGCTTATTGTCTCCCAGAGACAGGCCTAGAGACTGCTTTCTGATTATGGTTTCTCAAGTAAGTAGTTAGAGTTTTCACTTAAAATATAGAGAATAATACGTATTGCATGCTCTCTTTTGAAAGTTAAATAAGTTGATGCATTAAAATGAATAAATTAAATAAAATGGAGAATTTCATAT